CCAACGCCATCACAAGGGGTGACTGGCGGTCCCACCAGTAGCAGCAGCAGTAGCAGCACGAGCTGCAGTGTGACCGGCATACCCTCGGGACCTCTCCCCCTAACCACAACCTCGCAGCCCAGCGAGCGCCCTCCCCGCCCAGAAGCGCCAGAACACTCTCCCTCGCCGCCCCCTCCCTTGCCTCCCAGCAAAAGGATCCGTGTGGAGAGGAAGAGCCCACTTGACCCTCCCCCTGAAAAGAACAACCACAGAGACTCTACCAACGGCACTACCTCCTCTTCTACCCTAACCACCACTACAACCACTCTGTCTAATGAAGAAAATAGCCAAACTGTACTCAAGGTGAGAATTGGATGTTGTCTTTTGCAGAAATGGGTTACAGGTATTTCATTTTGTTGGATTTTAGCTTGGATTGCACTTTGTTTGTGTTTTTAGAGTATTAGTTAATTTGTATTAGTAAATTTTTTTTTTTACTTTTATAATACAGGATCATAGTTTTAATTGCTCTAGGGATTTTGTTGGTATTGAGGGATATTCTGATAGTATTAAATTTTTGTTCAAGTATTCTGTATTACTGAGAAGATTACACTGTTAATTTTGTTTTATAACAAAGAGTTCTTGCTTTCTTGCTTGTTTAACCCCTTAGGCATTCATTATCTGGTGGCACTCCAAATCAAAAGCTAATAATTTTCAAAGAAGAAAAGATTACAAATATTTTAGTTTTATGAAAATGGTGATTTCAACCATGTTTTTCTTTACACCAAATCGGAATAAAGGCCACCTTGGTAACTAATGACAACAGATAATCATTAAAAAGGAAGAAAAAGGTTTTACTTTTTTGCAGTAAGGGAGCTGGGGAAACAATTAAACACTACCTATTAGGTGGTGTTGAGAGATTGGTCAGTGTTCATAGTGGTTTAACTCCTAAGACCAGTGAATGAAGCATGATTTTCACAAAAGTAGATGTTAGCTTGTAGGCATTTGAAGAGCTCAGGTCCATTCAGAAGAAAAGGCGTATCTAATTCATTGCCATATTTCACGTACAGCGAGTGAGTAGAGTGCATAGTTGAGAAAGTTATGAGGGTTTTATATTTTAATTAAGCCATAATGATTGTAGCATCATGTAATCATTTCTGGTGATTGGCACATACACATATCACTCTCACCCTTTAACCTCTTTTCAGAAAAAGTATCTGTTTATTTGTTGATTACCTATTTGAAAAGATGTGATCCCTTGGGTGAACATTTTGTGTAATAGATTTGAACAATGAACTTTACTACATAATTTGTTCATTAACAGGGAAGATTATTGATGCGTTGTGAGAGATGGATATACTTATAAGAAATTCATGAAGCACATTTTGTATTTCAAAGAATGTATGGTGATTATATAAAAAATTAGGATAAGTTGCCAGTTACTCTTTACTCATTAAAAGTGACCAAAAGTCTTAGGAAATTTAGAATTTTAAATTAGAGGACTGTACACTAATTCATAAGGTAAAATGCAAGAAAAATTCTGCCAGTTTTTGAAAGGCCTGCTGTAATCTTGGCAAGCAGGACTTAGACCTTGTACATATATACTTCTGCATATAATCAAAAGGGTAAAGGATTTTGGTCAATTATTTTTGAAAAGGATAGATTGTTATTGGAGAAGAAATTGTAGGCATGTGTTTATGGGGATGGGGGGGGGGGTTAGTTTCAAGATTTAAAAATTTTGAAATCTTAAAGACTATATAGAAGTTTCTAGAAGAATCAGGATGGCTTGAATGTTATGAGAAGAAAGAGAATGCTAGTCTTCATGTTCCTGATTGCCATAATGGTCATGGTGATGATTTCCAGTGACTTTCGTTAGTTTTTGTGGCAACATGTCCCGCAGGAGTCTTAACTTTTCTTGTATCTTCTTTTATATATAATATTTGAGAAATACCTTTCATGGAAAAATACCTTTTGAATATACATATTAACCTCTTGGATTCAAATGCTTCACTGTACCAGATGTGGCCCAAAATACGGTCGTGAGGCTTTCTTGAGCGGCCACTTTGCTGGCTTGTAGGCTGGGTGCATACAAACACTCATGTGCGTTGACAAAATTCCTTTCCATTCCTCCCCTTGGCAGTATTATTTTCTCTTTTTCTACATGTATGTTTTTTTTTTCACCATTTTTGAATGTCTGTATTTGTCATATGATTTGTTTTATCCAATTCCATGCACAGACCATATCATCTCTCTAGGTAGTCAATAACTCAGTGTAATAATAGTAGCAATAAGTATCATTTTATTAGATCTTCTTTTTCTTTTTCTTTTTTTTCTTCTTCCTCTTCCTCCTCTTCCTCTTCTTCCTCTTCCTCTTACTCTTCCTCTTCTTCTTCTTCTTCTTCTTCTTCTTCTTCTTCTTCTTCTTCTTCTTCTTCTTCTTCTTCTTCTTCTTCTTCTTCTTCTTCTTCTTCAACATTCAGTTTTCTCTGATACGACTTGTGCCACTGGTCACAGCGGACAGGAAAAAGATCCTGAGCATGGAAATAATGTCCTCCCTGGAACCAGCACTCTTCCAGACATGGCTCAGGGATTTTATAATCCACACTCATTTATTGATTGAAATAATGTTAAAGCCCCTTCTTAAATACTCAGTGAGTCTAATCACCCTCCAAGAACTTAGTGCACTTGTGGTGAGTTATTCCTGTCACCTCAGCCTTCAGCTGAAATTCTCATGACGACAAGTTCCTGTCACCCTGGCCCTTAGCCAGATTTTCCCTTGATGGCATGTTCAAGCCCCTCAAGCCAAATATTTTCATGATGTGATGGGCAAGTCTTCCTGATTGTAGGGGTTAATGAACACTAGAAATAAATCATAATAGATGTAAGTGGAAAGGGTACGAGTATGTAAACTTTCAATTGGAAATTCCCCTCTCTCTCTCTCTCTCTCTCTCTCTCTCTCTCTCTCTCTCTCTCTCTCTCTCTCTCTCTCTCTCTCTCTCTCTCTCTCTCTCTCTCTCCCTCTCCCTCCCTCTCCCTCCCTCTCCCTCTCTCTCCCCCCCCTCCCCCCCATTTTGGGACAGGTGTGGAAGTGCCCCACATGCATAAGGACTGCTTTAAAACTAAAATGACAGTTTAGACAAATTTAAAGATAATTCTGTGTCAAATATGACAGAAAAATCTTGGAAGACCCTTTATTATTAGATATCAATGTAGTTGTTTCTTATATTTTACTGATATTTTCTGTTCACGTCCGCAAGGACTATCTTTAATTTTGTCCTAATGCATAAGGACTGTCTTAAATTTATTCTTATCCAGATTTTCTTCTGTTGAAAATTATTCTAGGACTCATGACAAGTTATCAAATGTTATTTGAGCCATCTCCTACATTTTTATTGTTGCATTTTATTTTTAAAATACAAAGATCGGTGCCAGCCTTTACTACTGATGCATTGACATTAAGCGGGGGATGCCACGTCACATTTAGATATTCTTAATGTGTAATATTACCATTATGATATAAGCAAGATTTATTGCCATATTTACCTTAGTATTTTATTACAATAGATAAGTTTTATCACACTATAAATGTGTGTTCTAGTACCAGCATTAACTTTGAGATGTGGCAGTTGGTTACGCTGTGAGGTGTCAAACCAAACCGCTTGACCTGCGGTGGCGAGCCAAAACACTACGAGCCGGTGATTCAGCTTGATATACCAAACTCCTGGTCTAAAAGTCGTTGCAATGCCATTGATCTCCAGAGTGTAGAGGTTTTTTTAAATTTTATTCACCCATCATCAAGGGGTAATGAAACAGAAAACAAGAACATTAATTCCATAATATGCATACATGTGGCAAAAATGTTCATTTGCAGTGCTAAGGAGAACTACCATATGAGTAAAAAGTACGTGTCTACTTTCCGGTCATTGAAACAGGCTGATGTAACACAACCAGCACTCTCAGGTGCTGGTAAGTGTTAATGTTGATTTATTACTGATCTCATTAATTTTAATTCGCCCAAAGTTAAATGTCAACATGTCGTGTTGATTCTAGATAAGAATATGGAAATAATAAAAAGGAATATAAGCAGTGACCTTGCAGCTGATTTTGGGAGATAACCCATTAGTTTCAGGTGCCTCGCTGCCCACATGTGGCCCAATATCTGGGTATTTGGTTTACTCAAGTTGCATATGTATATATATATATATATATATATATATATATATATATATATATATATATATATATATATATATATATATATATATATATTTATATTTATATTTACACACACACACACACACACACACACACACACACACATTTTGTGTGTTTTTTATATACATATTTTGTTAATATATATATATGTTTATAATGTATATTTTTATGCATGCGTACACACACACACACACACACACACACACACACACACACACACACACACACACACACACACACACACACACACACACACACACACACACACACACACATATATGTATATATATGTACATACATGTATATATGTATATATACACATATATGTGTGTGTATATATATACATATATATATATATACACATATATGTATGCATGTATATACATATGACATACGTGCATATATATTTTTATGTATATTTATACATAAATATATATATGAGATATATATATATATATATATATATATATATATATATATATATATATATATATATATATATATATATATATTCATTTATTTATATTATAAATATGCTTGAGTATATAGTCACATAAAATTGAATATTATGAGCCTTGTCCACATTACACCCTATTGCAATTTTGGGATGTTGCGTATTGTTATTTGTCAAATTGTAAATTGTTAATTTTTTCTTGGCCTCTTTAATGAAGAAGAATGGGGATCGCCAATACATTGCATAAATTATTTTGATAGAATAATGAAGGAACAAACTTTTAGAATGATGATAACATCCTATATGTTTTTTACCACACCTGATTTGTAATTTTAAGGTGCAGACCAAGACGGCA